CCAAACTGCATGTCAGAAGACACTGTGAAACTTGCTCTTGAACAAAAAGTGACTAAGGTGAATGGAAGAAATGCTGAAATAAAAGACCTAAACAGGAGATCTCAAAGGGTGGCTCGAGAAAACAAAGTAAAATATTATTATGAAATGTGGAAAGACCTGGAATAAAAAACAAAAAAGGAAGAACATGTTCAGTGTCTCTCAAGCTGAACTGAAGAAAAAAAATTGAAGCCTTGAGTGGCAATACTGAAGGACTCTATGGGCAAAATACTGAATGATGCAAGAAGCATCAAAAGAAGATGGAAGGAATACACAAGAGTGGTTGGATCAAAAAGAATTGGTCAGTGCTCAACTATTTCAGGAGGTAGTATATTATCAAGAACCAATGGTATTGAAGGAAGAAGTCCAAGCTGCACTGAAGGAATTAGCAAAAAAACAAGGAATTAGCTCCAGGAATTGACAGAATATGCACTGAGATGTTTGAACAAATGGATGCAGTGCTAGAGGCACTTACTCATTCATGCTAGGAAATTTGGAAGACAGCTACCAGGCAAAATGACTGGAAGAGATCCATACCCATTCCAAAGAAAGGTGCTTCAACAGAATGTGGAAATTATCAAACAATATCATTAATATCATACGTAAGTAAAATCTTGCTGAAGATAGTTCAAAAATGGTTTCAGAAGCAGTATATTGACAGGAAACTTCCAGAAATGCAAGCTGCATTCAGAAGAGAACGTGGAACAAGGGATGTCATTGCTGATGTCAGACGGATCTTAGCTGAAAGCAAAGAATACTAGAAAGATATGTCTAGCTGTGTTTTATTAATTATGTAAAGGCATTTGACTGTATGGATCATAACAAATTATAGATAACACTGTGAAGAGCAGGAATTCCAGAACACTTAATTATTCTTATGAGGAACCTGTACATAGACCAAGAGGCTGTCGTTCAACCAGAACAAGGGGATATTGCATAGTTTAAAATCAGGAAGAGTGTGCATCAAGGTTGTATCCTTTCACCATACTTGCTCAGTCTGTGTGCTCAGCCAATAATCCAAGAAGCTGGACTATATGAAGAACACAGCATCAGGACTGGAGGAAGACTCATTAACTGCCTGCAGTATGCAGATGACATAACCTTGCTTGCTGAAAGTAAAGATGACTTGAGGCACTTAAGATCAGAGACTGTAGCCTTCAGTATAGATTACACTTTAACATAAACAAAAATCCTTACAATTGGACCATAAGCAAATCATGATAAACAGAGAAAAGATTAAAATTGTCAGGAATTTCATTTTACTCGGATTCACAGTCAACATCCATGGAAACAGCAGTTAGGAAATCAGATGACGTATTGCACTGGGCACCTCTGCTGCAAAAGATTTCTTTAAAGTGTTAAGAAGCAAAGATGTCACTTTGAAGACTAAGGTGCACCTGACCCAGGCCACGATATTTTCAATCGCCTCACATGCATATGAAAGCTGGACAATGAATAAGGAAGACTGAAGAAGAGTTGATGCTTCTAAACTGTGGTGTTGGAGAATACTGAAAGTACTATGGACTACCTGAAGAACAAACAAATCTGTCCTGGAAGAAGTGGAGCTGGAATGTTCCTTGGAAGCGAGGATGGCCAGACTTCATCTCACCTATTGTCTTCTGGGACCATTTCCTGGAGAAGGATATGATGCTTGATAAAGCAGAGCGGAGAAGGGGAAGACTGTCAATGAGACAGATTGACACAGTGGCTGCAGTGATGGGCTTGAGCATGGCAAGGATTGTGAGGATGACACAGGACAGGGCACTGTTTCATTCTACTGTACACAGGGTCACTTTGAGTCAGAGCCACCTCGATGGCACCGAACAACAATTAGATTACTTATAATACCTAACACAATATAAATGCTATGTAAATAACACTTCACATTTCATCTTAAGCTTTCGAGTGATTGTGTTGACCACTTAATTGCTTTTTTTTTCCTTTGAGTATTTTCGATCTGCAGAATTGTGGATATGGAGGGCCAACTGTGCAACAAAACATTTGCCAATCCAATAATTTCTACATGTCTCAGCGACACTAATTATATTTTTCACATTGTGCAACCATTCTCGTTATCTTTTTCCAAATCATTCTATCATGATTTACCTATATTCAGTCTCCCCTAAGCAAATACTTCTCCTCCCCTCTTCCTTCCATCACTGATAACAACTAATAATCTTTGGCTTTTGTATATTTGCTTAGTTTCACATACGTGAGATCAATACAGTATTTGTTCTTTTGTGACTGACTTAAATTGCTCAGTATGTTTTCAAGCTCATCCATGTTGGGGCATGCATGCACCAAGACTTAATTTCTCTTTATGGCTGAGTGATACTCCATTGTAGGTCTAAACTATGTTTTGTTTATCCTTTCACCTGCTGATGGCTATTTTGGTTATTTTCACCTTTTGGCGATTGTGAAAAGTGCTGCAATGAGTACCAGTGTACACGTTTCTGTTTGCACTCCTACTTTCAATTCTTTTGGGTATATACCTAGGACTGTGATAGCCAGATCACGGGCAATTTTCTGAGGAACTGCCTAACTGTTTTCCACAACAGTTGTACCATTTTGCATTCCCACCAGCCACGGATGAGGGCTGACTTCCTTTAAGTAATCATTTTGGAAGTCTAAAATAAAGTCCTCTTTCTGAACATTTAGTTTGTTTTGTAAGCTACTCCCACTGATCATACACTATGGTTATCTTCCCCCCAAGCAATATGTTTACTTAGTTTTGTCTGCACTTTTATCTTTGTTCAGCACTGCTTTCTGCAACCTACCTTTTCTTCATGGATTCATTTTACCGAAGTATATCCTTCACTTCAACAGTTCTTTCCACAAGCATCTATTTGTAATCCACTCTGTCTGCATGACTGAATTTAACTTTGTTGTTGTTATGTGCCGTCGAGTCAAACCCGACTCATAGCGACCCCTCCTTGGGTTTCCGAGGCAGTATCACTACAGAAGTAGGATTGCCCAACCTTCCTTCCGAGGAGTGGCTGGTTATTCTACCTTTATTCCTGAATAACCATTTAGTATGTAATTCTAGGTTGACTATTGATATCCTTCAGTATTTTGAAAATGTTATTCCTTTGTCTTCTGATTATTGCTGCAGTAAGTCTAGATGGCAGTCTAACTCTAGTTCCTTTTCATGCGATCTTTTATCTAAACTTTTTTTTTTTTTTTTTGGTGCTAGATGCTCGGCAGTTTCACTCTGTTGTGTGGACTGATGTATCCTACTTGGATAGTGTGCGCCCTTTAAATCTGAGGGTTGTGTCTGTCCTAAACCCTGCAGGATTCCTAGCTTTTCCTTGGGATGGATCTCTCCCCATCTATTTTTCCTTCTGTGAACTAACTAGACACATTTTGAAGCATTTCATTCTATCCTCCATATTTATCTTTTCTTTCTTATTTTCCATTTTTATCTCTCTCTACTATAATCTGGGTGATTTCTTTAAATCTGTGTTCCAATTTACTAATTTTTTCTTTGGTTATGTTTGACCTTTTATTAACCCTATACTTTGAAGTTTGTTTCTTTGTTTCAGTGACTATATTCTTCATCTTTAGGAGGTCTATTTGGTTCTTTTTCAAATCCATGTGTTTTAAAAACTACTATCTTCATTTACCTTATAACTTCTATAGCTTCTTTCATCTTTTCACATGTTAAGCATCACTCACTCACTGTTGTTGAGTTGGATCCGACTCACAGCAACCCCTCCTTGGGTTTTCTGAGGCAGTATCTCTACGGAAGTAGATTGCATGATCTTCCTTCCAAGGAGTGGCTGGTGGGTTGGAACCGCCAGCCTTCTGGTTAGCAGTAAAATGGCTTTAGGCACTATGCCACCAGAGCTCCCCATGTTAAGCACACTCATCTTAAAGTCTTTCATATCATTCTATTACTAGTCCTTGGTGGCATACAATGTCTCTACCTTATGATGGTTGAGGTCCTCATGAAGTTCATTTCTTTCCTGGTATATGGAGGAGGGAAGAAAGCTTTCTTTCCAGCTTAGTCCCAAATCATCAATGTAGGGCAAATGTCTTCCCACAGAAATAAAGGCCTTCATTTCCTTAGACAAAGGGACCCATGGGGGTTGGGGCTTGCCATGTCAGACTTCCTGGATCCTTCACAGCTTTGACTGGGTACCAGGTAGTCAGTACCTATCCCTAACCCCCTAAACCCAGTCTTCCATGGTACCCTGACATCTCTGAATGAGTACCAAGTGGTGAATTAAAGTTCTGAGAATTTTCCAACATTCTCATCTGATCCTGCATAACCTTGGAAAAATCATTTATTAATTTTTCCTGTAAAACCACCAAAAAACCAAACCCACTGCCACCAAGCCGATTCTGACTCACAGCAACCTTCATTGGGTTGCCAAGGCAGTAAATCTTTATGGAATTAGATCACGGGAGCTCTGGTAGCATAGTGGCTAAGACACTTGCCTGCTCACCAGAAGGCTGGCGGTTCAAACCCACCAGCCACTCCTCGGAAGGAAGGTTTGGCAATCCTACTTCCGTAGTGATACTGCCTCGGAAACCCAAGGAGGGGTCGCTATGAGTCAGGGCTGACTCGACGGCACATAACAACAACAACAACAACATCTTCCTTTCAGGGAGCTCTGGTAGTATAGTGCCTAAAGCATTTGACAGCTAACCAGAAGGCTGGCAGTTCAAACCCACCAGCCACTCCTCAGAATGAAGGTTGAGCAATCTACTTCCATAGTGATACTGCCTCGGAAACCCAAGGAGGGGTCACTATGAATTGGATCTGACTTGACAGCAGTGAGATCTTCCTTTCACGGGCTGGCTAGTGGGTTTGAACTGCCAACCTTCTGGTTACCAGTCAAATGCCTCAGACACTGTACCACCTATAAAACAGTGGCATCTTCTTTATTTAGAAAGAGAAAAAGAATATAGCATAAATATTATACAACACAAAACTACAAAGGAAAAGCAACACATGGCTACTTAAAAACAAAGTTTAATTTATTTTTATCTGGAAAATAACAAATACAAATTTAAAATGAAACTGACAAGCACTTAGAAATGTAACCAAGTATCATTTTTAATATTACACTTATTCAAGATATGGAATCTTTATAAATTTCTGGAATCAAAGATTCCCACCACAGATGAAAACAAGTTGGTTATAAAATGTCAATTCATTAAATATTCTATTTTTGCTCTTTGTTTTTACAGGGAATATTTAATAGGAACACTGTATAAAATAAGGCAGAGTTTCACAAATTCAGTTATAAAATTTTAGAATGAAAGTCCTAACTTTTCTTTGCAAACTAAGAAAATTTTAATTTTACCTTGGGGAGTCATCTGTGAAGCTCATCAGTCATCTAGCTCTGTTTCAGAGTTCTGGTTTCTGTGTGGTAAAAACAGTTCTTTTCCTCTTAAGAGTAAGTCCCACCAACAAAACAGCTTTTCTAATTAGCATTGATCATGAAAGAGTTTAACATACACAAATATTTCTATAATGCAGTAAAAATGCATCATTTTATAATTTTAAATTTGCATTATGAAAATAAGTCTGTACACCAAGTATTGCATATTTAATGAATATGAATCATGTAAATTGGTCATGGTATTTAAAGTTGGCTTTGGCTGTGAAGCATTTTTAAATTCATAGAAAATATTGAACTTCTAATAAATAGAACATTTTAATAATTGATATTAATAATCAACTTCAACATTTCTTTGTATTTTTTCATTTGCTATTCAATTTTAAGAGAAGTCACTTTCAGTAGTGTTCCAGAGTGAGTGACTGTACCTTCTATGATGTGAAAGAAGTTGCTGAAGATCCGATTGCCATTAGGTGTTCTTAAGTGCTAAACATAATTGAAAGAAATTGCTTGCAATAAGACATTCTCTGTTACCAGCAAGAAACTCATCAATATCCTTTGCAGGGGTACTCCTGGCCTTGTGTTTTGATACAGTGCTGATGCAAAACAGGTTTCTCATGTGACTTTCTGAAAAGGCCCTGCAAGAGGCCCAAGCTACAGTGGTAAAGCTGCACTTTATGGCAGTGGCATCGGACTGTGACTGTAGAAGGTACTGATGTCCCCATGTGTTTTCTCACAGGATATGCAGACCTGAGGATAGTTCTGCCTAGTATGGAAAGGACCAAGAACTCTAGCTGTCCTCAGGTTTTCCAAAATGACCTAAGGGACAAAGCTTTAGGGCCTAGGCAGTGGTGTGCTACTGGGGAGGTGGTCGGACGCTGCACAGCTTCATTTCATCCAGTCCTTTCCAGTACTTAAAGTTGTTGTCAAGGTGCTGCATTAAATCCGGCAGGTCAAGCAAGGCTGGAGGAAAAGACAGGAACATGATACCCTTTCACACCTCAGGTTAGAGGTTTAAGCTTTCTAATGAGAGCATTTTAAGGAAGCGGGACAGACAGCAGTCCTCTGCATAATGTTATGCAGACCCTGATGGAGCCCTGGTGGTGAAACGGTTAAGTGCTAGGCTGCCAATCAAAAAGTCAGCAGTTCAAATCTACCAGCTGTTCTGTGGGAGAAATAAGTCTGCTCTAGTAAAGAATGCAGCCCAGAAAACCCTCTGGGACAGTTCTACACTGTCTTATTGGGTCACTATGAGTTGAAACTGACTCGATGTCATACAACAGCAACAATCTGTTTAATTAAATTTATATATAAATAAAATTTGAGAACTCTGGTAGCGTAGTGCCTAAGGCATTTGACTGCTAACCAGAAGGCTGGCAGTTCAAACCCACCAGCCACTCCTTGGAAGGAAGATGGAGTATTCTACTTCCATAGTGATACCACATCAGAAACCCAAAAAGGGGTCACTATGAGTTGGGTCTGACTCGATAGCAGTGAGTTTGGTTTTTCATATATAAATTTCATTTTTAAAACTAGCAATTTTTCAGTGCCTTTGGGCCTGGGGAATCTGGAGCTGGGAACAAAAACGTCATTGAGTCCCCACTCTATGGCAGTGCCAGGTCCTGCCTGGCTCTCTCATGATACTGCCATGTGCTTAATATGTACCACATATACTGTTATGGATTGAACTGTTTCTCCCAGAAAAGACAGGTTGATGTTCTAATCACCTGTAAATGTGACCTTGTTTGGAAATACGGTTTTTCTTGTGAAGGCAGTGAGGTCACCTAAAGTAGGGCAGGTCAAAATACTAATCTCTTCTAAGTGATATTCTATAAAAGGACAGAACAGACAAACAGAGAAGACGCCAAGTGAAGATTCATCCGTAAGCCAAAGGCCAAGAAATTCTCAGGGTTTAGAAGCTGGAATAGACAAGGAAGAATCTTCCCCTAGCACCAATAGCGAGAGAGAGCATAGCCCCACCAATAACCTGATTTTGGACTTCCAGCCTCCCGAACTGTGAGAAATAATTTTCTGTTCTTTAAAGCCACTCACTTTGGGTATTTTGTTTAGCAGCTCTAGGAAACGAAGACATATGCTCTCTCTTTCCACCAGCACCGTATCTCTGAGAGGTGGGTAGTGATGAAGACATTTCACACATGAGGAAAGTGTGGTCTAAGTCCTAAAAGGGATAGCTTCACAACTTGTAGTCTGCCCTTAAAGCCACAGCTCTCTCCACTGCCTTAGTCCACCTACCCGACCTTGAGGCCCCATTCTGCTTGCTTTGGAGTGCCCTATGACCTCCATTGCCCTTGAGATGTGTGCTTATTTTCTCCTCATCAGATCTGAATCAACTCCAGATCCTTGCAGCCCTTCCCCTCAAGTACAGCTCAGGGCATAAAAGGTGCCCAGGCAATGTCCTGGAATCCTCATGTGTTAATCCTCTTACTGGCTCCTGTGTTCCCACTTAAAGGAGAATGCCTCTGTCTGAGAGACCACTCTGCTTGCAAGTCTGGTGCAGAGGGAACCTGGGAGCTCCATAGGGTTTTTTCAGTGGCTCTTTTTTCTGAGATGCCTCTGGGTGGACTTGAACCTCCAACTTTTCGATTAGCCACCAAGTGTATAACTATTTGGACCACAGTGACTTCTAGAGTAAATACTAGTGGTTTTTCAGTCCTAGTTTCTGTACTACTAGCTGTGTGATCCCAGTTCAATTTCCTCATTTATAAAACAGGTGTAATGACCCCTATACCTCCAGGGGGGTAAATGAGGAAATGCACGAAGAGCACCCTGCTCTCAGAGGCTCTTGGTGACAGTTCATTTCTTTTCCTCACACCCTCTTGAAAGCCTATGTCCCCAAATATACTCTAGAGTCAAATATACTATTTACTATTCAATATTCAGTTCCCGGTTAAAACTACCCAAGACTCACTGGGAGAATAAATATGACAAGTCTTTCTGTACCAAAAGGCAGTTCTGATAACTTCCCAGAAGAAAACAATAGTACCAGGGGTGTTAAGGGAGCTCTGGTGGCATAGTGCCTAAGGCATCTGACTGCTAACCAGAATGCTGACGGTTCAAACCCACCAGCCACTCCACGGTAGGAAGACTGGGCAATCTTCCATAGCGATACTGCCTTGGAAATCCAAGGATGGGTCACTATGAGTTGGATCCAACTTGACGGCAGTGAATTTTTTTTTTATAATTGTGATTTGGGTGAAAGTTTACAGAGCAAATTCACTTTCCATACAGCAGTTCACATACATGTTGTTTCAGGACATTGACTACAATTTAAAAAATATGGAACACTTCACGAATTTGAGTGTCATCCTTGTGCAGGGGCCATGCTAATCTTCTCTGTATTGTTTTAATTTTAGTATATGTGCTGCCGAAGAGAGCATGGCAGTGAGGTTTTTAGAGGGGTGTCAAAGTCTAGTACTATCAAACTGCGGCCCCACTTCCATTTCCTGGGAAGATGATAGGGGAATTTGTATTTTGTCCCCTTCAATTCTTAGTTGTTACCTAAATAACCCAGTCCCTATTTAGTTTTGGAAACTCTACTCCTGAAAAGGTCCCAGCATCTATCTGAATGGGGTCTCTCTGCTCCATTTCATAGTGCCAGGAAGAAAGCACTGTCTTCAATGGTGAAGTTTTTTTAGGGAATAAGGAGAATGCAAATTTAGACCCATGTTGCAAATCTTATTTTAAAGTAAAATATGCTACAAGATTTCTTACCGTCCCAAGAGTCAAACATGTCTGTGATGAAGTAGTCAATAAAAGAGATCTGGGATTTGGGGATGCTGCAGGTGTTTCTGTCAAAAACTGGCATCACCACAGGTAAGCCTTTCTGCTTCTCTTCATCAGTCTGCAATGCAGGAAATGCCCTGATTATGTGACTATGCTATTTGGCTCTAACACTTGAGAGCAGCCCCTCCACCAGAACCTCCCTCCTGGCAGTCCCCAATAACTTCCCCGGGTGAGAAGCCAATCACAGCAATAGCCAATGAAACCCCAACCTGCTACCAGCTACCAAGTTGCTCTCAGGATGGGGATGACTTCATTCTGTCAGGGAGCTTGCCCATATCCCAACCCAACCGAAACATTCTCCACACTGGTAAGCCTCCTTTCTAAAAGCTCCACAGGTAAGATTCCAAAGAGTATTTGTTGGTGTGTGAAAGCACTAGTTATCTACCTCTTTGGGGCTGAGTTGTTCCTGCCACCTTCCTATCCAGCAAATGTCTGAGGTGCCAGATACTGAAGTTACAGTGGTGAGAAACAGCCATACCTTCCCAGAGAGAAACAGTGCTGCTTCTCATCTGGGGCCAGATTATTTTACTTGAAGTTTCTGAATCTAGAGATCTTGGAGGCAAATGATGCTCTAGCTTGAAGAAATTTTATGTACTTTAGTCAAGCTCTTCCACAATATCCTTAGGATTCCAGAGACTTGCAGGAAACTGAAACCATTATTAAGACTGTGAGGTAAAAGGCAAGTTTATCTTGAAAAGTATCAAAGTGCATCTAGTTTTTTTGATTAGGTCTGGTTTGCCCAAGGGTCTTTGGAGAAAAGGGTGAGCTGATGCCCACAGGACAGCAATGAGGCCTTAAGGCTTCCAAGAAATCAGGTGGGAAACTGGAAGGCTATTTACTCAAAAGGGTCTAAGGGGTGTACAACCAGAATTACCAAGGTCCATCTTGGAGATGGGGAGCCAGTGCTATGAGCTAAGGTCAGACAGTGGGGTGGGGCAAAAAGCCACAGAGGTAAAGGATCAAGTAAGGAAGGAATGGGTTGGCCAGGTGAGTAGCTCAAAACTAAATCTGGACCTTAGGTGGGACCTAGAACATGTGTGGGGTCAGAGTGAGGGGATGGTGGCTGGAGGAGCTGTTGCACCACACACTAAGCCTTTCTCCCCTGTTGGCATGGGCAGTATGGCCATTGCTCTGGGAGATTCCTCTGGCTCTGAAAGGCATGGCTGACCTCACCTGCACTTGGACTCATTATCCCTGATTGTTGGAATGACTGTTAAGAGCCTGAGGTGTAGGCTGCTCTGTTATGCCAAATGTGTCAGGGAAGGGCTTGCTCAACACAGAAGAAAGGCAATGGAGTTGATGACCTCAGGAAACCCAGCCCAGGTTTCCTACCTAGAATGGCTCTCCTTGGAAGGCCTCCAGTGGGACTGTAGTAAGAGCCATGTGGAACAAGGGCTGTGCACACTGGGCTCTGATGAGCTGAGCTTTGTTGGCCATTTTGGGCTATGGAAATGGAGGACTCATGAGTAGCTACAGTGAACAGGACAAGAATGTGGATGTTCAGCATGACCGAAAGAAAACCTTCTTTGGGACTAGGAGCCTGTCCACCCAACCCTAACCCCAGGAACTGTTCCCAGGAAGCATACATTGATTAGATTCATCATGTGCAATACCACTCTCCATTTCCAAATTATTCCACCATCATTAACAGGAACTCAGTGCTCTCCTTAGTCAAGACTTCCCTTACTCTTCCTCTTCACCCCTGTTGTCGTCATGCACTACTGAGTCAATTGTGACTTTATAGAAGCATTTCTGCCAGTTTTTTTTCTCCTGTACAGGTACTGGTGGGTTTGAACCTGCAATCTTTTGAGTATTTAACCACAGAGTCATCAGGGTTCCTTTCTCACCCCTAGTAGCTACAAACAAATGTTGGTCTTTATACATTTGCATATTTCATGTAAGTGGGATCACATATATTTGCCCTTTGGTGACTGACTTATTTCATTCAGTATAATGTTTTCAAGATTCATCCATAGATGCCCTTTTTTGAGTAAGTTTCCTTCAATCTAAGAGTTTTTATGATGAATTGTTGTTGTTGTTGTTGTTATGTGCCATCGAGTCGGCCCCGACTCATAGCGACCCCTCCTTGGGTTTCCGAGGCAGTATCACTACGGAAGTAGGAATGCCCAACCTTCCTTCCGAGGAGTGGCTGAATAGGATGTTGAATTTGTCAAATGATTTTTCTCTATCTACTGAAATAATTGAACAGTTCTCCTTTATTCAATTAGTATGGTATATTATTATAATTAAAAATATATATATTAAACCAACTTTGCATTCCTGAGAAAAACCATACTTGTTCATGAGGAATTATGGACTATATTTTTTTCCTAGTATTGCCTTTGTCTGCTATGAGGGTAATAGACTTGTAAAACAGGTTGGGAAGTATTCTCATCACCTTCTATTTTCTGATACGGTTTGTAAGACTGGTGTTATTTATTCCTTAAATGTTCGATAGAAGTCATCAGTGAAACCAGCTGTATTTATCAAAGAATTTGCTCATTTCATTTAAGTTGTCAAAGTTGTTGGTATAAAGTTGTTCATAAGGAGCCCAAGTAAAAGTGCTAGTGTTTGGCTGCTAATCAAAAGGTTGGTTATTTGAACCCACCAGCTGCTCTGTGGGAAAAAGATGGGGGCAGTTCCACTCTGTCCTATAAGGTCGCCACAAGTTGGAATTGAATTGATGCAGTAGTGTGGTTGGTAAGTTGTCTGTGATTTTTTTTATTACCCTGTTACTGTCTGTAAAATCTATTGTGACAATACCTCTTTCATTCTTGATTTCCAATTTGTGTTCTTTCTCTTTTTCTTAATCTTGATCAGTCTAGCTAGGCAGGTATTTATTAATTTTGTTAATCTTGTCAAAGAATTAATTTTTGCTTTTCTCTACTTTTTTTTTTTTTGGCTATTGTTACTATTTCCTTATTTTTATTTATCTTGGGTTTACTTTGTCTTTTTCGAGTTTCTCATAAATCAATTAGGGCTTTTTTTTTTTTTAAATATTTAATATTATAAATCTCCCACTAAGGATCACTTTAGTTGCATTCCACAGTTTTGATATATTTTTATAATCGTTTAACCCTAAATATTTTTTAAGGCGCTTTGGTGGTAAAGTGACTAAGGCATTCAGCTGCTAACCAAAAGGTTAGGGGTTTGAACTAACCAGCACTCCATGGGAAAAAGATGAGGCAGTCTGCTTCTATAAAGATTTATAGTCTTGGAAACCCTATGGGGTACTTTTACTCTGTCCTATCTATAGGGTCTCTATGAGTTGGAATTAACCTAAATGTAGTGGCTTTTAAAAATATGTTTTCTAATTTCTCTTGTGATTTGACCCAGAAATGATTTGGGTATGTGTTGTTAAATTTCTAATTTAATACCACTGTGACCCCAGAACACATTCTGTATGATTTTAATTCTTACAAGCTTATTAAAATTGTTGTAGGCAATATACGGTTTATCTTGGTGAATGTATCACATGTACTTAATGTATATTCTGTAGACACAAGGTATAGTTTATTATAAATGGTTAATCAGGGTAAGGCGGTTGATAGTGGTATTCTGATTACATCTTAACTAACATTTTAATCTCATTGTTCTATCAATTACCGAGGGGGATGTTAAAATGTCTAACTATGATTACAGAATTGCCAATTATTCTCTGTTATTCTGTTAATTTTGCTTCATCTATTTTAAGGCTCTGTTATTAGGTGTTTATACATTTAAGGCTATTATTTTTTCATATAGAATTGATTCCTTTATCATTACTTTGTCTGTGGGAGCTCTGGTAGCATAGTGCCTAAGGCATCTGACTGCTAAGCAGAAGGCATTTCTTCATGTTCATGTGTGTGTTGGCTGCTTGAATATCTTCTTTAATGTGATGTGTCCATGTCCGCTGCCTATTTTTTAACTGGATTATTTGTTTTTTTGATGTTGAGGGGTTAAAGTTTTCTATAAATTTTAGAGAGATGTCCTTTGTTGGGCATTTCATTGACAAATATTTTTTCCTCCTCTGTAATTTCTTTTTACTCTTTCACAGAAGTCTTTTGATGTGCATCAGAATTTAAAAGGTCCCAGTCATCTAGTTTATCTCCTGTTGTTTATGCATTTTTGGTTATGCTTGACAGTCTATTTATGCTATAAATTAGGGCCCCTAAGTTTGCCCCTATTTTCTCTTTGATGAACTTTATACTTTTAGGTTTTACATTTAGGTTTTTGATCCATATTGAGTTTGTTTTTGTGTGTGGTGTGAGGTATGCATCTTGTTTTATTTTTCTGCAAATGGATATCCAGTTTTGCCAGTACCATTTGTTAAAGAGACTATCTCTTCCCCATTTAATGGGTTTTGACACTGGATTAAAGATAAGCTGTCCATAGGTGGATGGATCTATTTCTAACTTCTTTACTTAGTTCCATTGGCCTGTGTTGTAGTAGGTTTTGAGATCCAGGAGGATGAGACCTCCCACTTTGTTTTTCTTCTTCAGTATACTGCTTTGCTTATCTGAGCTCTTTCTTTTCCATATAAAATTTGTGATTGGTTTTTCCATAATCCTTAAAGAATCTTGATGGACTCTGGAGATAGGTGTAGTATTATCACTTTTCTATAGCTCTCTATTATTTCAAAATATCTGAGTTTTCCTTCTCTGACAAGTTTCTGGCTTTCACAGGCTTTACTGTATTTTGTCTGCAGTTTGTAATTATTACCTCCAGGAAAGGTGGTTCAATAGAACCTACCTGGATTCATCACTACAAGCAGAACTCAGATTCTTAAGTGGAACATCGATAAAGCAAATCAGAGACAAGGTGGGCTAGCCAGAACTAGGGTACCTCCCCCAACACCTGATTTGTTAAGTGGGCCTGAATAAAGGCTTTTGCATGGTAAAACCCTCTTTAACATATATATACGGAATTTAAGAGACAGAATCTTACCTGAGAGAAATATTCTTCTGAGATACGAGCAGCCCACTCAATGCAGAACTCCAGGGATCGACAAGGATTGGACACATCAGCACACTTAATTAGCATTCGTTTGATCAGAGTCCGGTTCTCTGGTGTCCTGAGCATAGAGTTTATTGCTTCTTGATCTTTATCAGTTTCCTAAAACATGAATGAGATTCAAGGTAATCAAAATGGGCTGCTTGGTGCCAGGTCCTCTTGTACTAGGGATGCTCCATTATAAGCACAAAAAGGCACTTGCTGGGATCCACAAGTTAAGGTTCCATAAAACATGGTGCTGAAGATATTCTACACATTTAACTTGGCTCTTCATTTTACAAAGGGGAAAACCAAGACCCAGTGAGATTCTAGCAGGACCCAGTAGTAGATGGTAGCAACAGGGTTTAGTATATCTCTCGTTTCCCTTCTTCTTGGCTCTTTCTTCTCTCCCTCTTACTCCAAATCTTTCTCACAGCTGCCTTTTCTGTTCTTCTCTCTCTCTCCCCCTTAGTAAATATAAGACAAAATTACTCTTTGAGTTCTTTGTAACCAAGAGGAGTATGCACTGAAGAAATAAAGAATTCCTCAGACAAAGGCTCTGGTGGTCCCCAGGTTCTCTGCATCTTACAACCCAACCCCCAACCCAGTTGTGTGATAGCTGTGATATCTTTAGAATTAGTGTTTAGTGTACCAAGATTATGTCACATATAATCATACTTCCTTACTTTGCTGCAACATTTTATGTTGCCCAAAAAACTTAACAGTCATTTTCTTTTGATCTATACTCACAAGACTGTGGTAGTCACGGTAAGTAAGCACTATTATTTTTTATTACATTTATAGATGAGGACCCTGGGATTCAGATAAAGTGACTCATAAAAAGTTCTCATTCTGGCTCAGCTGGGTAGCTTAAGTCCTACCTTTAGTGCTGGGCTCCTTCCATTCACAATACCACAAGGAGCCCCACTAGCTATGGATTCTCAATCCATAATGTAATGGAGTTGGAAGAAGGGAGTACTGGGGCAGAAAGCACTGTCAAAAGCGAAAGCAAACATGTTTCTTCATTCTGATTCCACGCCCATCAAATAGGCATGTAATCTGAATGTATAATGGCAGTGTCCAAGAAGGCCTGATGGGTCCATCTTCACAGGGATAAATCTGTCATCTTAAGCCTAGGGGGCCTGGTCTCCTGCAGTACCAGGGTGGACTCTGCCTCAGTAACTCTCCTTGCTCCAAGTTTCTATTGCCAACTAACTTCGAGATCACCCTTCTTTCTTCAGATGTATTAATACCTTTGGTATGACTGTAGTTCAGTGCTGCCAGCCTGGAAACTGTTCTCTGCTCTGACCCACTGGGTACTGATTTCCAGTCTAACTCTCAGAAGTAACCCCAATCACTAACAACAGAGATGAGAAACATGATTGTCAAATGGAGCAAAGTACTCAGCTGAGTTTGGGAACTATGCAGACTAAATAGAGGAAAACAAGTCTGTGAGGTATGTAGCTTCTTTCTTTGGCATAGGGTTAGCTAGGAGCAGTGGTTGGGCAACAGACAATCATCCCCATTCAGGAGAGCATGTCAGGGACCAAAGAAAGAGGCTCAGGTGGGAAACTCTCCACTGAAGTCCTTGGCAAGGCAATGAAGTCAGGAGTAAGGTGAAAAACTGGTAGAATAGGGAAAGGTGAAGGGAGTAGGGTCCTGAACATGTCAGAACATCAGGTTGAGCAGAAGTAAGCATGAAGGGCTAACAGGCTAAAAATCCAGAGAACAGACAAAGGTCATGGCCAAACAAAAGAGTTGTGAAAGTAAAATGGAGTTAAACAAGAAGGAATTGTGATCCTAGACTGACAGGGGAAGTCATGCTTGTGCATGGAGAAGTCTCTTAGGATGGTGATATGAGTTAGGGAGGAGAGAGAATGAAGATTGTCAGTTGGTGACTATGGGTAGATAGGACGTCAGATGTGTGGACCTTAGTGGAAGAAGGTTCATGAAAGAACATATTGTGTAGGTTGCTGATCTCACAATGACTCTACTGTAAAAGGTACCATCTGTTAAGTACCTATTATGTGCCATGTCTGTCAATCCTATGCCCTGAGTTTTCTTATCCCCAGAGTAGAAGTAGGATAGGAACTCAAATCTGTCTGCTACCTTAGCTGTGGTCTCCCGTCTGGAGAAAGTTTAAGGTTGTATTTGTCAGGAAGTTGTGGATTCTATGCCTTAACTTCAGAAATGAGGGACAACAATAATGTTACAAGGGTACAACTTCCTGACCCTCACATTCCTGTGACATGCACCAACAAAGAATGGCTGCTGCTACCACAGAATGTACACACAACACATTGTTGTTATGTGCCGTCGAGTCAGCCCTGACTCATAGCGACCCCTCCTTGGGTTTCCGAGGCAGTATCACTACGGAAGTAGGATTGCCCAACCTTCCTTCCGAGGAGTGGCTGGTGGGTTTGAACCGCCAGCCATCTGGTTAGCAGGCAAGTGTCTTAGCCACTATGCTACCAGAGCCCCTAATCAATACATTAGGGCCCCAAAAACAGATTTCCTTACCTTGTTTTCTTCTAGTAATGCCAGGGGCTTGTTGACACTGTTGACAAACTTGTTGACATGCTCAAAGTGCTTTGTCATCTCTGTGGCTAGGACCATGTCAATAATACCTTGGCGTAGCATCCGATAGTCATTCCTATTCCAGACGACAAATGCAAGGCTGCTATAGATGACTAATCCTGACAGATAGTACTCCTGAAAACAACCTATTACCCAGGATATGTGTACACTGCAGTTAAAATTCTAGTATCTCTGAACATCACTAGGGATACTTTAAAAGGATACTGCAGAAATTATAGGTTAGCAACGGGAAGCTGAAAGTTAAAATCAGAACCTTAAGGACAAATCTTTATAGATGAAATATTTACATTGCTGTCACTGTGTAGTATATTGCATATAGATTTAGAATAAAACAAAGTATGGGAGAACTAAAAGCAGCTCTATTAATGAAGATAGAGATGTGCAGTTACAGAAAATGTAATATACACATTTGGGCACCTTGAGACCCAACCTCTGAGGGCAGACTTGAGAGCTGGGAAAAGTCACAAGGAGTATTTGTATCTCTTTGTCTTTATTATTTCTTAAAAAAGCAATATATATAATTCAAAAGGTACAAAAGAGTATGAAGTGAAGTCTCCCCTTTCTCCACTTATCTATCTAGTTTCCTTCCCTGAAGACACCTTTCCAGGGAGGACTGATGCATATATAGACAAATAGGGATAATAGTATTTCAATTCCACCACAGAAAAAAGGAGTTCTGTAAAATCAGGAATTCCCTGTTTTAAAAATATCCAAATAAATATTCCTCAGGACATAATGCTTTTTCCTTCTTCCAAATGGTATCTGCTTGGTCCCTTCTATGTGCCAGTTACTGAGGGTACAGTGATAAGACATGGAACAAACACTTACGCCCTTTCAGAGCTTAAGAATCTCATCACACATTGAACAACTACTTACTGTACATTTTTTGCAAATGACGTGCCTACACACGTAACACTGGCAAAGCACACTTACAAAAATATTGTGTGGGTGGGTTGTATGGTTGGAACACTGTATAATATGCAAGTTATTTGCATAAAATACAGTAATAAAGAATGTGGTGTTGTGAAGGAACTTGAGACTGAGTAATTAGGTTCAACTTAATGTGGCAGACAAGGAAAAACTTCCCCAAAGAAGTAATCTGAAAACAGAGACAAGATAAGAAGGTCACTGTGCAAAGGAAGGCAGAGTATTCCCAGAGATAAAGATGATTGCTTCTCTGAGCTGCTATGTTATTAACACGTTAGCTATAAACTTCATCTTTTTGAAATACCAAGTGATAAAAAAGGACTGGGCCTTGAAGACATAACTACAAATCAAAGAAGTTAGACACAAAAGGTCATAAATTGTATGATTCCATTTATATGGAAATGTCCAGAACTGGCAAATCTATAGAGACAAAGTAGATCACTAGTGGCCTAGGACTAGGAAAGAAGGTGGGAGGAAACAGGAATTGACAGCTAATAGGTTTGGAGTTTCCTTTTAGTGTGATGAAAATGTTCTAAAATTGATTGTGGTGATGGCTGTACAACCCTGAATATATCAGAAATCACTGTAACTTTAAATGGGTAAACTGTATGTTATACGAATTATATATATAGATAGATCAACATGCATAAATTTTCCTAGTTAGTCATGGTTCTTACCTCTCCATGTTTTTAAAGATATTACATTTATCATCTTGAATGGTCAGCTGGAAGCCCAGGGCTGCATGGTGGCTTTCCAGGACAGCAGTGTCATTATACAAAATGGCCAGCTCACTTTCCGCATTACACAAAAAAGAGTTGGTTCTTCCAGGGTGATCCACGTCATGAATGGTGGCTGCAAGGAGGGCAGCAACCTCATCAACTGGATCTAAAGTTTGCTAGAAACAAGACATCTTTTCAAAATGAGGTATGGCTTTGGAGGCAAGAAAGCCCTCTGCACAGTTTCCTTTTCGCCCTGTTAACTTTAAGGTAAGAAAGGTTTCTGGGAAAAGCTAATCATGTGAACAAATCCTGTCTTCCTACCCTCAATCTAAAAGTTATCTCTTTGTATATGTTTATCAGAGAACAGGATCTGATCTTCAGAGTCTCACACAAGTTAAGGACTTAGCAAAATACAGGGTGTCCTCAACAGATATGAGTTATTCTTTCTCTAGACCTAGCATAAAGAAAAGTCTGAGATGTTAGACCAACATAAACTAGTTGTTGTTACGTGCCATCGAGTCGGATCCGACTCATAGGATCCCTCCTTGGGTTTCCCAGGCAGTAGCACTATGGAAGTAGATTGCCCAACCTTCCTTCTCAGGAGTGGCTGATGGGTTTGAACCGACAGCCTTGTGGTTAGCAGTCAAATGCCTTAGGCACTATGCCACCAGAGCTCCTACATAAACTACTATTACTCTGAAATAATTTTTAAAAATATGCATCACTTGGGGAAGGGTCTGGTAGTCTATTTTTCTCATTTTGGTGCTATCTTTGTTAGGCTGGTGTTAGGGCTTTGTGAATCTAAATTTTGTGCTTTAAGCTTTCCATCATTTTTTAAGTTCTGAAGAAGTTTATGTAGCATGAGAACATTTCTTCAAGGTCTAAAGAGCTCACCTGTCCATCTGGGTCAGGAACCAGGTTATGAAGAAATGAGTTCAGAGTTTAAAAATGACTTGTTACATCAATTCTACTTAAAATATTTACAAAGCAGCATCTATTTTAATTGAATTAGCACAGATGTGTATAGTGCTCTCTTCTATCCTTTTCCATTTCAAGTTTGTGGGTCTCTTTATTTCTTTATTAATTCTTGATTAGTTTGGGGAGAGCTTTATCAATCTTTAAAAAACCACTCTGGATTTATCATTTTGCTCTTTTGATTAACTGACAGCACTGAACTATGAATTGTGCTCTGACTCATGTTAAGCCCATGTACCACAGAACAGAATCTTGCTTGGTCCTGCATCATCTTCACAATCACTGGTCTGCTCAAGTCCATTGTTACGCCATTGTGTATTCTGAGTGTTTTCCAACCCAGTACTATATTGGACAATATTCTGTGGTGATCCATAATATTTTAATTGGCTTATTTTTGGAAGTAGAACATCAGGCCTTTCATCTTAGTCTGGCAGCTCTGCTGAAACCATGAGTGACCCTGCTGGTATGTGAAACACCAGTGGCATAGCTTCTAGCAATATAGCAACACACAAGCCACCACAGAAAGACAAACTGACAGATGGGTGGTGGAAAATTGAATATGCACCTTTAAATATACCTTCATTCTATAAGTTTTGACAGATAGGAGAGTCTGATTTTTTGTTGTTTTCCAAGTAATCTTTCATTTGGGGTTTTATCAATGATCATAAAGATGGTACAGGACCAGGCAATGTTTCATTCTGTTACACACAGACTCACCATGAGTTGTAGCCAATCTGGCAGCATTCATTGTGATCATTTTTGGAAATGCTCTATAAACATTTGAAAAAAAAGCATTTGCTCTGGCTCTGCCTAACTATGTTCAATGTGGTCCCGGCCACCCTGTGGCCTTCACCAAGACATCAGTAAATGGGGCCTTGCCGTCTCATTCCTCATTAGGGGTTTTCTTAGAAATAAAACCAATGATTTGGTTCTTATACTGTCAAGTATTTCTAGGAGTGAAGTGGTTATGTCACTGCAATTTCATGAACTCTTATAATGTATCTTGAAAAATATAACACAAGTACTTTGGCAGATCAGTACAAGTCTACTTGTTGCTTTGAGAATTTCCCTGCTGAAATTATTTACAACATAAGTTCAGTTGAGTAGGACAGAACTGAAGATACAAAGATGAAAAGGGAGCTTGCTCTTCAAATGGAATGGACAGACAGTAAGAAGGCATTCTAACACAGTAAAGTCAGGAGGGTGGAAGTGGGGCACTTAACCTTTCTAGAGGAAGAGGGCTTATACAGATCCCTGACAGACAGGATCTTTAGAAGTTAGAGTGGTTTGGTGTGGGCCAGTCGTGGCCTGTGGGTCTAAGGCCCAGGACAGGGAGGGGAGTAAGTACAGAGAGCCTTGCATACTCATCCTGTGGAGTTCTCAGTTTAAATACTGCAGGAGATGGAAAGCTGCTCCCGGGAGTGAGTGACATGGTTAGATTTGCTATTTAGAAAGATCATGTCAGCAGCAGTTGTCTCCACAAGAGACAGGATAGTAAGCTTTTTGGAACTGTCTAGATGGGACTCTCAGAGCAGCAGGGGCATTATGAGGAGATGAATCTGAGAACAGTTAGGTGTTACAATAGGCAAAGTTAGATGATCAGCCAGATGTCTGGGGGGTGAAGAGAAGAAGGTCCAAGGATGAGTCTGGATTTCTAGCTTGGATGATGGGAGCAGTACTGGGGCAATGACTTTGGTCTCAGACACCTGCTGACTTTGAGGTACAGTTGGGGTCCTAAAGCACCAATATCTAAGTCAGCTGGCTGCCCTAGCCTGTTTGTTCAGAGTGAGACCCCCCAGAAGTATTCTCATGGCACAGTTGGGGTTGTTTCAGGATTGAGCATACCACCTTGGCAAAAGCATGAAACTCTCCCCACCGCTCCTACCTGTTACACATGGAGCACAAACACTTGCTTACCTTTATCCTCTCTCTGGACAGAAAATAGGCTGTTGCGTGCAGCACATCAGCAGCATGTGTAGAATTGTGGTAAGGGTTAGAAGAATGATAATTGGTTTCAATAATTTGTAACCATGATCTAAGCGTTGACTCAGAACAGTTTAAGAATTCACAAATTCCAAAGCGAGCAAATATTTTGAGACCAAGATAAACCAAAGGCCTATAGGGAAAAAAAAAAAATCCAGAGCATGAAAATAAAGCAAGGAACTAGGCAAAGTGTTTGGCTCTGAGCCTCTTGAAGTCTCCAATCTGAGTGGGGCTTCAGACTGTACGGGCCTCTGCTGCTCTTTTTCCCCTTAGATAACCCTCACAGAATCCAACTCCTACTTGCCCTATTGGATTCCCTGAAGTAAACCTGTACCACCTTGTTGGCTGGAAATTCTGCCTAGAAGAAAATATTTCCTGAGGATCAAATATAAGCCAGACATTGTCACATAGCATGTTAATTGTCTAACAATTTGGAAGTCTGTGTTGTAGGAGGGATGACCTACTCATGAGATGGCACCAAATGAAGCCCTTATATGAGAAGTCACTTCTAAATCCTTGGCTTGTTTAGGCACATTCAGAAGTGAAAAGGCTCATAGATTTAAACTGACGTCCCTAAACCTGATTCACACGAGACTAGTAGGTAAACCAGATGTTGAAGGATTCATTTGCCACAGGAGTATTTTTTTTCCCACTGTGAAAGGCAGTCTCATTTGCCTTCTAGAATACCCCTTACCCCCACGCTGGGGTACATGGGAAGTAGAATGTATCAGAAGGTTGGCTCATGATGAGCAATGAGCAAAGAGCAGGGACTATGTGGAAGACAGTTTGTCTAGACTGGGATAAGACCTGATGGATTATCCCTATAGCCCTACACAGCATGTCTATACTGTGTGCCTCACCACCTTGAAGGCATCTGGCTCTTAGGATATTCCCTTTCTATGTGCCAAGTGAAATACCCCCTTTGGTTAATAAGTCTTCTCCATCAAGGTGTACAAAACTCAAAATCTCAATCTCATCCCCACTCTGCAGCTACACCCAGATCAGGGTGATTAGAATTTTGGGTGTTCCTATGCCTGTCAGCATTTTATGGCAACCAAGACTGGGGGTGGCTCCTATTGAATGTGTGGGAGTGTATGTTTCTAACACATTTTGTTCTAGGCTCTGAGTGGGGTTCTATGCAGCTATCTCAGAATATCACTATCTACAGGAGAAATTAACACCCTCATTTTCTGGAAGAAACCTTTGGTACTTAGACTGGTTAAGTCCTTTGCATGAATCTGCAGCCTCAACAGGAGTCATGGCCCATGGACTCCTCTCACTGAGGCCTAGATCCCAATGACTCAGGGGCCCCCGGGCCTCTCAGCAGCGTTCAGAAGCCAAACTCCTTGAACAGATTCCTCCACAGAGGCCTTCTGCCTGCCAATCCAGAGGGACTCACCTTTTTTGGGTGGCAGCCTCTAGTTCAAAAATATCAAAGTCCCAGAACTCCTCATTTTCCATGGTTTGAGTTATCCGCGGTGGGATGTCATGAAGGGGGACGGAATTGACTATCCTGCTTGAAACCTGGTGAAGGTCTATACAGTGATGTAATGTGGAGAACAAAATTAACAGACTTTATGACATTAGCTGTTTTTTTTTTTTTTTTTAACACAGGACAGCTGCTTTATGACATCAAGAAACTTCTTAATGATGAGAATAATTATAAAAGATTATTTTTCACCACTCAGGCTTAACTGCAATTATTATGTATAGCTAATGATCCAAAAAATTATAAAGGAAATACTTACTCTCTGGTGAAAGAACACAGTCATTTCCTGATAGTCTTCGCAAACCATCCTAATAAAAAGCAAGGAAACAAGACAAAGTCACAACTGTTCTTTTCCACTTGAAAGTTTTAGGACTGCCCTCTCCACCAGTCCACCCAAGGTTCCCCTGTGCCCAGCAGGCTCTGTCCCCGTGATAATTACTGTGGGCAACTGTTGTACTTACAGCCCCTTCGAGAGAAGTCTGTATGCAGCTCGGTGCTGGCCTGGCTGGAAGCTAAATTCAATACCAGGGGGTAAGCCTTAGAGATGACCCCCAAAGCCCAGAATTCCTGCTTATACCTCATGACTACTTTGGCCTCTTAGGGACAACTCCCCTCAACCCTCATAATTTTCTTGGCCCCTCTTCTCACCCCAACAGATAGCAGGCTTCCTTTGGAAACTAGATCCTTTCCCATTTTTTAAAGCAACCTCATTTCCCCCACTCCGAGAAGCTAGATCTGCAACCTCCTCACCACTGCTCCCAGCAGACACTTTCTCCTTGCCTCTCTTAACAGGCTGGAGAAGTCTCTGTCTCAAATAGGCAAGGTCACAGTACAGGTATTATCAACACTGGGAACCATTCTTTACTCCAAAGTCACTGCCTTAAACCCAATTTTTATGAAATTAAATTACCTCAGAAAACATGGAGAAAGGACATAGTTTATTTCTGGTAGTGGGATGACATGTGTTCCACAAAGTTGTTCTTACTATGTGAGAGCTCTGTACTAAACAGGCTGAAGGAGCATTCAGGACCCCTTATGAGCCCACGAGACAAAGCTTCCTTCTGATAAAATGTCATCACAGTTTGGGTAGGATGTCTTGGAAGCAAAACCATGCCCCAGCCCTTGGCACCTCTTTAAGCACATTATGACGGAAGAAGGATAGTCTCTATTTTATAATTTGATACATAACATTCAATACTACCTTCTTACTCCATTTTCAAAAGCTTTAAAACAAGTGAAAAAAGTTATTTAAATTGCTCATAGAACCCCTGAGCATAACTGGAGAAATGGCTCAGTATGTCTAAACTATGCTACTCCCTACACTGATGCTTCCTGAGGTGGTGGACAGCAGGTAGTTGACAGCTCTGGCTAGAGAGCAGTTGAGTTTGGGCAATGAAGGAATTTAGGCCTTGACTGTGCACTATATACAATGGACTGGCTGCCTTTCCAGAAAGCTGTTTAAGCCAGCCTATACACAAATACTCTCTGGGAAAACAAAACAAGAACAGGCAGGCTCTAATCAGTAGCCTGGTCCTATATACTTACACACATTAAGCCCCCAATGAGGTCATTGGCATGAGGATCATCATCCTTAGTATCAAACTGTGGTGAATATAATTCAGTGGTTCTTAGAATTTCCAGCACATGGTCTAAGGCTTCAGTTACAGCCACAGGACTGCTTTCTTGGGCAGTATTAATAATACTGATTACCTACAATATAGAAAGAAAAGACTTGAACTTCACAATATTAAAAACAATTGCTTAGCAATCCAGGGAGTCAGCCTGGCAACAGTGCTTAATGCTAACTTAAGACTAGCTAAAATGTTCACATCACACATCCTTTTCATTCAGAGAACACAGCACCATAAACTGTGAACATCATCATTATTGTTGTTGCAGGTCCATTTCTTCTCACTGGAAACAATAAAGTTGGAGAATAAGGGACTTCCATGTTTGGTGCAGACCAACCACAGACTGCTTCACCTTGGTGATGGGTGCGTCAATCGTCATGGAATGTATCCGGGTCACAGAGGAGTGTCGTCTCTGGGTGGCAACTGTGGAGAAAGGATGCAGAAATCGGGGTGTGTACAACCTCAGGCACCTGCCTTGCTGGCCGAGGGCTCCATGACTACCCTTCCTGCCCAGCCTCAGTGTGCTCAGCTGCATGATAAGGTTCCTTTCCATCCTGGCAACCCTTAGATTCTGGCATAACCAACTCTGCTTCCTTCAGTTCTAGGCACTAGGATGCACATGTCCCCATACACAGAACTTCTGATGTCATAGACCAGAGACAAAACAGGGGAAACAATCTAGCAAGTCAAGGCCAAACAATTAGCTTCTTTTTGTTTTTGTAACACTAAGGCTTTATAATTATCCAACCAGCCACTATCCAGGAGTAAAAATGTTCTGGAAGAGAGTATCATACAGACCCTTTGTTTCACACATGGTAGGAGCAATAAATACAACTCATCACTGGCTGATACACATGAATTTCTGTTAAATATCTCAAGGTATATTTTGGTGCTTTCCACTGTTATGTTTCTAAGGTAAATAAATGAGGCAAGCATCAACACTTAGGATCTAAAATTTGTTTGTTTTTGTTCTTGTCAAGATATAGGTCCTCCTGGGGTGTGGTGAAAGCCAAGGCCATGCACAAGCAGGAAAAAAGAAAAAATCACAGAGTTCTGTGTATCACCATGAATGCCTCACTGTCAGGCAAATGCTGTTTACCAAAGACCTTAAAGGACCACAGACTATTCTACAGCCTCATCTTACAAATGAAGAGATTGAGGGTCAAGGAGAGAAATTGTCCAAAGCTAACCAACTGAGGGCCTCTAAAATGCTTTAAACTTTTCAAGGACCAACAAAACTTGTTATTATCTAGTTTTGGTGACCAACATAGGGTTACCAACTTTTCATTTTTCCCAACAAAGTCAATAAGCCAAAAATAAAAACTACTATATTTTATTAGTATGTCAATAAAAAGATATGTTTTCATTTCTAAAATAATGAAAGGAGCATGTTTATAAAAATAAAACTATTTAATAGTGTAGATGCAATAAAAATAAAAAAAGTATAAAAAAGATTGCCATGTCTGTGTATTCAGAAAGTCTAAAAGAATCTACAAACACACTACTCTTAAATTGACTCATTGATTGTAAGATAATTTTATCAAGGTTATTGGGGACATGATCAATTTACAAAGATCAACTGAATCTCTCTAACACTAGCAACATTTGACAATTGAAATGAAAAAACATACCATTACAATAGCATCAAAAAACATCTAGAGGAATAAACATAAGGAAAACTGTTCAAGTTTTCTACAATGAAAATGCAAAATATTGTGAAGAGAAAATAAAGATGACCTAAATGAACAGAGACATATAGCATATTCATAGTTTGGAAGATCCAGTATTAAAGAGATTTCAATTTTCCCCCAAGTTGACCTACAGATTCAAGAGAATTGCAGGCAAGATCCTGGGTGTGCGTGGGGAGTGCTTTGTGTGTATCCCCTACGAAGCTGACTCTGAATGTTATATGGAAATGCAAAGGACTTAGAATAGCCAAGGTAAACCTGAAGAATTTTATACTATCAGAAATCAAAACTTACTAAAGCTATAGCAACCAAAGGAGCTTACTAAAGGTGCTCTGGTAGTGTAGTGGATAAGGCACTTGACTGCTAACTAGAAGGTCAGCAGTTTGAACCTATCAGCTGCTCCATGGAAGGAAGATGGGGCAATCTACTTCTGTAAAGATTAATAGCCTCAGAAATCCAATGCGGGTCACTATGAGTTGGAAATGACTCGATGGCAGTGAGTTTTTGTTTTGTATAGCAACCAAAAGTGTGGTATTGGTGAAAGCCCAGACAATCAATCATCAATGGAACAGAATGGAGTCCAGAAACAGACTCATAGCAGCACCTGACTGATGATAATGGTACCACTACAAAAGATAGTTTTTCAATATAGTGATGGATCAACTAGATTTTCATAGGGGAGAAAATTCATCCTTAACTCTTACCCTCACATCATATATAAAAATTAATTAGAAATAGATCACAGACCTAAAATGAAAGATGGAAAAAAAAAAAAAAAAAACCACTTTGAGAGGAAAACATGGAAAAATATCTTCATGACCTTGAGGTAGAGAGATTTCTTAATCAGGACACAAAAAGCACTAACCGTAATAGAAAACTGATAGATTGGATTTGGTTAAAATTAAGAATTTCTATTCATCAAAAGATACCATTAAGAGAGTGAAAAGTCAAACAACAGACTGAGAATTTATGATTCATATATCCAATAGAGGACTCATATCAAAATATGTAAAGAATTCTCACAAACCAGTAAGAAAAAGATTAACAACTCAATTATAAAAATGGGCAAAAGACTTGAATAGCAATTCACAAAAGAATACCCAAATGACCAAGAAGCATATAAAAAGGTGCTCAACCTCATTAGTCATCATGAAAATTAAAACCATACCAACTAGAATGGGTAAGATGAGAAATACTGGTATTACCAAGTGTGGGAGGAGCAACTGAACTGTTAAATGTCAGTGATGGAGAGTAACTTGACACAACCCACATTATAGAACTTTCTGAAGTTACCCTACAGCCCAACAATCCCAGATATAAGTTGAAAACATATGCAACCAAAAAGGCTCATACCAGCCTTATTCTTAACAGAGGAAACATGAATGGTCCTCAGTAAGAAAACAGATAAATTGTGGTATGTTCATATAATGTAGTGTTACTGTTGTTAGGTGTTATCAAGTCAGTTTTGACCCATAGTGACCCAATGTACAACAGAACGAACCACTGCCCAGTCCTGTGCCATCTTTATAATCATTGCTGTTTGAGTCCATTGTTACAGCCCACTGTTGTCAATCCATCTCATTGAAGGTCTTCCTCTTTTTCACTGACCCTCTATTTATCAAGCATCATGTTCTACTCTAGGGACTGGTCCCTTCTGACCACATGACCAAAGTATGAGAGATGAAGTCTTAACCATCCTCACTTCTAAGTAACATTCTGGCTATACTTCTTTCAAAATGGATTTATTCATTCTTTCTGCCAGTCCATGGTATATTCAATACTTATCACCCACACCATAATCCAAAGGCATCAATTCTTCTTTGGTCTTCCTGATTCACTGTCCAGCTTTCACACTGATATGAGGAAACTGAAAATACCATGATTTGGGTGAGGCACACCTTAGTCCTGAAGGTGACAACTATGCTCAACACTTCAAAGAGTCTTTTGCAGCAGATTTGCCCAATGCAATACATTGTTTGATTTATTAACTGCTGCTTCCATGGACATTGGTTGTGGATCTAAAATGAAAGTAAAATGAAATCCTCGACAACTTCAATCTTCTCTGTTTATCATGATACTGGTCCAAGTTGCGAGGATTTTTGTTTTATGTGGTGGTGTGCTCCATACTGAAGGCTGTAGTCTTTGATCGTCATCAGTGTTTCAAGTCTTCTTCGCTTTGAGAAACAAGGTGGTGTCATTTGCATATTGCAGACTGTTAATGAGTCTTCCTCCAATCCTGATGCTGTGCTCTTCTTCAGACAGTCAAGCATCTCAGTTTATTTACTCAGCCTACAGATTAATACTCAGAAGGAAGGTTGGGCAATCTACTTCTGTAGTGATACTGCCTTGGAAACCCAAGGAGGGGCTGCTATGAGTCGGATCCAACTCGACGGCAATGTGTTGCATTGTTTTGCATACAGACTAATAAGTATGGTAAAAAATACAACCCTGAAGCACACCTTTCCTGATTTTAAACCATGAAATATCCTCTTGTTCTGTTCAAACAAATGCCTCTTGGTCTGTGTATAGGTTCCATGTGAGCACAAGTAAGTGTTCTCTTTTGTGTCTGGCCTCTTTGTCTCATTGTAACGTTTCTGAGATTCCATGTTGTTAGTTTTAAGTACTGATACATCTAACAACATGAGATCTCAAAAACGTTACAATGAGAGAAAGAAGCCAGACACAAAAGAATATATACTGCATAATTCCACTTATACGATGTACAAGAACAGGCAAAATTAATTTATGGTGATGGAAACCAGCTGTTGCCTCTGGGTGGTGAAAGATGTGTATGTGTATTCTCTTCATCTATTTTGGGTGGTGATTACATGAGTGTATATAACAGTCAAAACTCATTGAACTGAACAAGTAATTCCTTAACTTTATGGTATCTAAGGTATAACTCAACAAAAATAGTGATGTCAAATAGTTGAATGCTCTAAGGAGTGAGAGATCAAAATGGCAGCATTTTGCCTAAGGACAAAGTTCTTAAGGCAGGAAGGAATAGGAGAGGAGGAGGAATGGAAATGGAAAACACAGGGAAGAAGTGGGATGAGTGATGTTACACTGTAGGGACTGCAATCAATACATGAAAAAAAAAAAAACTGTATGAACTGTTGAATTGAAAGCTAACTTGCCCTGTAATCCTTCACCCAAATCACAATTAAAAGTTAAATAAAATAAAAACAATGATTAAATAAAAAGTAGAAAATTAACTCTTTAAGGTACAAAAATATATAAAGTAATTCAAAGGATCAACAAAAGTTATGGTGTGGTGAGTGAAGAGAAGCCTGTTCTGGATGTAAGTGCACTTACCATTGCCCTGTACTACCCAAGGGCTGCAGGGGGTCATGGAACCTAACCAAGGTGACCACAATAATGTAGCTAACACTAATAGAGCACTTACCCTTGCCACGCAACACACACACTCATTTATTTCTCACATGATCCTCTGTGGACTCCATTAGTTTGCCTGTTTTCCAGATAAGGAAATGAAAGCCCAGAAGTCCATGCCTGAGGTTGCAGAGAGCAGATAAAGCTGGGACTTGAATCAAGTCATCTTGATGCCAAAACTACATTCTTTCCCCTTCAAACCACACTGCTTCCTGCTGCTGCCATCCCACAAATGCCCTCAAAGCAGGGGTATAATGTGTATCATTTTTCTAGTACAAGGACATATAACATCTCACATGAGCCTCACAACAAACCTGTGAGCAACATGACAGTAGGCATTTGACCACATTTTATATTCTTAGTTCTATTGCTTTGGAAATTTTCGGCTTTTTAATCAGTAGCAACAAACTCCACGTACTATATTATTCATGTTTGGGCCAAAGAAGTATACAGCTAGTAGTAACATTTGCCTCCACAGCAAACAAATTTGTCATTACTTTAAAAAACTACTAGATTGTTCAGGCCATGCACTTATATAATCTTTTAACAATATTACAGGTAGTTCCCAACTTATGAAAGGGTTCTGTTCTGATGACTCTGAAGTCAGTTCTTAAGTCAAATACTTCTTTTTTATTTTTTTTAGATTTCCATATTCCTTTTATAATCAGTATCTTTACAAAGCTGTCCTTGAGGATTGGAAACATTATATATAAACATCTGCAAATGAACACCTGAGAATGATAGAGCATCAGCAAATTTCATGCTGCAATGTTGTACACAGTACAAAACCAGATGGTCATTAAATGTAGTTTGATGTAACTTAAATATGTCATAAGTCAGGGACTACATATATTTTCCAATTAGAATTTAAATATTTGCTTAATGACTCTTTCATAATCCAAAAATTGGGTTTGCACCCCTAAAAGACAAGCTTCAATGGCAAACTGCAACCCACAATGGAAATCTTTTAAGAATTATCAAATGCATTACTGAGAAAATTACATCTGATAAAACTGACATCTTCTGCTGGTTACACTTCAGGAAATTAACAAGAGAACAGATAGTAAAATATATCTTTTGTTTTTCTTTATTTCCTCGACTCCTTTAAAAGGCTCAGAATGGAGCCCAATGGCAAAAGTTGCAGGAGAGGACAAAGTGGACAAAGGATTCTAGAGGGTACCCTTCCATTTCATGAACTGGAGGTGGGCAGTGATCAGGGAAAAAGACTGATAGGATTGGTCCAATCTACAAGTCAACATTAATATGAGAATATATTCTTCTCTTGTCTTTGGCACCTACCTTCACTTGGTCGTGGGGCAAGTGGTCTGACATCTAGGAAGTCTTTTCTCCTGTCTTTAGTAAGTTTGCCTGTCTGCGTATCTGTGGAAACAATTAAATTAGAAATCACCCCTTCAAAGGGAATTAAACATATTAGCAAAGGTTACCAATCTAAAATTAAAAAACAATTTTAAAATAGAACACCATCTAAGATGCCACAAAAATCAACAGACTGCACAGAGATGAAGAATATGAACAACTGGGGTTTGAAGGGTTGGCTCTCTGAAAATGCTCTACTAGGTGCAATCATAAACAAGTGTTTCACAGTTCCCAGATTATATAATTATGGAGTCCCAAGACATAAAGTGAAAACACAGAATTGAACTCAGGAAAATTTCTCCTACTACATTTCTATATAATTGAATAAAATGGTAGAAAAATTAAGATCCTCTACATCCCCTTGTCCCAAAGGAAAAGAAAAAGAATAAAATGTTCTCTACAAAATAAGCTTATAGGCATTTCAGAGAATGTTTTTCGTGTCTAAGGAGGCACGGACAACACTCATTTAGAGTATGTCTCAAATGTAGTTAACTTTCTCCCCATATGTACTCCCCCTTTTCTATGAATGACACTGCTGCTCTTCTAGGCTCCAACAGAAGGCTGTCTTTGATTCCTCCCTACCTTTGACCTCTCACACTCTAATCACAAGGTGAGGTTGACCCTCCTTCCTGTCTCCTCCTCTTTGTACTTGTTGGTGCCATTGATGGTGCTGGGTGCTTTCCTGGGCATCAAGTCATAGGAACGTCTCCAATCTGTGAGATGGGTATCCCTGTGCCCACTTCAAAGATGATGAAATGGAGCTACCCACACAGAGCGGTGAATGGCACAGCTACATGCTAGTTCAGGTCTTCCTGTCCACAAGCAGTATTTTTATTTTCTCTGTTGTATATTGGCTTCTTCACCTGGAACCCCTGTCTTCTCTGCTCACAAACAGGATCTGAACTCAGGTAGGTCCTTAGTACTCTCCTCTCCACTATTAATAAGTTTCTTCACTTGCTATCATTTGCTTGTTGATCTACTATAAGCTATATTCTCAGTGGGTACTGGCAAAGAACTTATCAAGGTTACTGATGATTTTCCCTTGTTGCTAAATCCAGAGGCTACAGTTCAATTCTTTTCTGACTTGATTTGATTGTGGTCCTAGGCACAAGTAGATTATGCTTCCTGGAAACTCTTGGTTTCCATGAGTTCATTCTCTCCTGGTTTTCCTTCTACCTCTCTATTTTTTCTGCTTTCCTTCATAAGTTCCTCTTCCTCAGCTGCTCTGGTGTTTCTAAAGATTTCACCCTTAGTCAACACAACCTCCTTAGGGGATTTCATTCCTTCTTACAGTTTTAATCAGTTCTTGTGCTGTTGTCTCATTCCAGGCCTCTCCCCTGAGCTCCAGACTTGCATCTTAACTCATCACTTCCATCTGAATCCCCTTAGGCATGTCAAATGAACTCATTATCCCAAACAAAATCATTATTCTCACCCAAATCTGTTCTTTCTCCCAGGTCATTGAGCAGCAACTATCTTTTTGCTCAAGTTAGAACAAGTCACTCACGACTCCTTGCTCAGAGCCCCCTCTTCAGTTGGTTATTTAAATCTATGGATTCTACCTTTTCAGTACTCTTCCATTTGTCATCTGTTCTGTCCCTCCCTATCTCAGACACACTCATCCTCTTCCTCTGGATGATAGCAATAGCCTCCCACGCTGGTCCCACAGCCCTTAACTTTGCCTTTAACCCATTCTTGATAGGCAGCCCGGCAATCTTTCTAACACAGAATGTGAACAGGCCACTCCCAATTAAACCATTTCAATGGCCCATCATTGTCTTTAGGAAAACTTTAAACTCCTCAGGGTGGCCTTTAGAGTCCTACATGATCTGGATCCCTTCTCTCTAGCCATCAAGAACTATGATTATGATATGCTAGTTCAACTACAAAGGAGCCCTGGTGGCATAACAATTAAGTGCTTAGTTGTTAACTGAAAAGTTAGTGGTTCAAATTCACCTAGCAGCTCCGAGGAGAAAGATCTGGTGATCTGCTCCTGTAAAGATTAACTCACTGCCATTGAGATAGATCTGACTTATAGCGACCCCTCCTTGGGGTGATTCCGAGGCAGTATTACTATGGAAGTAGATTGCCCAATCTTCCTTCCGAGGAGTGGCTAGTGGGTTTGACCCATCAGCCTTCTGATTAGCAGTCAAATGCCTTAGGCACTAAGCCACAGAGCTCCTCCTCTAAAGATTATAGTCTAGAAAACTCTATAGCTAGGCTTACTCTGTCACATGGGTTGTTATGAGTCTAAAATCAACTCAACAGAGCCTAATAACAATAGTTGTGCCAATGCACAACTTGCTTACCTCTACTTGGGATCTTTACGTGGTTAATGCTTGGTCCTCTCTGAAGATGCAGTTCAGGTATCAAAACCTTTGGGAAACTTTCTTTCCCTTAATGCCTCCCCATACCACCCTAACACTACCATCTGTCTTCCTTGCCAGCCATCAATGATGTAAGGGACAGGGACAGTCTTTTATTTCTCTTTCCTAGGTCAAAAAGTAACAAATGCCCAGAACATATGCCTGCTTCTCCAAACACTTGCACATTCCAAAACCAAACCAAACCCATTGCTGTCAAGTTCATTCTGACTCATAGTGACCCTACAGGACAGAGTAGAACTGCCCCCTAGGGTTTACAAGGTGACATCTTTATTGAAGCAGAATGCCACATCCTTCTCCCACAAAGTGGATGGTGGGTTTGAAACACAGATCTTTTGGTTAGCAGCCAAGAAATTAACCACTGCACCACCAAAGTTCCTTGTTTCCACAGTACTCTTGCTCAGAAACTCTGAGTGCTTCACAAATAAAAGAATTACTTACTGGTGCTCAAGGGCAGGCACAATCTGCCAGCTCCAGCCTGCCTCTCAAGGGTTATATTTCACTTTTCTTGAGCATGTATGTGCTGTGTCAGCTCAACCACTCTGCCCTCTGTCTACGGAACAGTCTCGGCACCTGCTCCTTCTGTCTGTGACATATGACACGACACTACCCTCTCCAAATGCCCACTCTTCCAGATTTCACCTCCGCTAGACCACATACAGACTAATGTGTCTCTCCTTCCTCTGAGTTTCAAGATTAATGTTAACAACAGCAACCTGGTAAGACTGTGTGGTGAACATAGTACTTCTTTCATTCCTCTTCCTTTTAATTATTCAGCACAGATTTACTAGGCACCTACCACGTATTATACCCTGAGCCAGGCATTATGGATGTGAAGATGAATAAGGCATGGTCCATGCCCTCAAAAGGGGAAGGTCTATAGGGGAACAAACATGGGTAAACTAAGAATTAAAGCCCTAAGTTTGAAATAACAGGGGAAGCCCAGATGACCAAGTGGCAGAAGCTGCCCTGAGAGTGGGGGCAGAGAGGATATGAGCTATGATTTTGGAGATGCAGCCCATAGTGGAGAAACATTTTCAGGAGGAGGTAACAGCAAAGGGAGCTGACTATGGCTAGAGAGATGCAAGAAGTAGATCTCATATCGAGGACAGGGTTGTAGCAAGAATGAAAGGAAACTACAATGGAATATTACTGTCAAAGACAAATGAAATTCTTATATATGCTACAACACAGATAAACCTTGAAAACGTTGAGTGAAATAAATCAAACAAAAAGAGACAAGTATTATAGGACCCACTTATAAGAAAAATCCAGAATAGGCAAATGCACAGACCAAAGTTTATTACCAAGAGTGGAGAGGTAAGTCGGCGCGTAGCTTGGGGCTTATGGGGCAGCTTTAAGGCTGGGCTCCGGGCCCCAGACAGGCAGGGAAGTGAGCAGAGTAGTTAGGAACTACTAAGGGAGACGAACTTGTCTGTCAGTTTGTCGTCCTGTGGTGGCTTCCATGTTGCCGTGAGGCTGGAGGTCATGCCACTGGTGTTGCAAAATGCCAACAGAGTTAGCCATGGTGGACAGGTTTCAGTGGAGCTTCCAGACTAAGACAGACTTGGAAGAAGGAAGAAGCCATCCACTTCTCAAAGAATTGGCCAGTGAAAACCAGGGATGGATGGTAAGGGGAAAAGGGCAAGTTACTGCCTAAGAGATACTGAGTTTCTGTTAAGGGTGATAAAAACATCTGGAAACAAATAGTGGTGATGACTGCACAACATTGTTGTTGGTAGATGTTACTGAGTCAGTTCTGACTCATAGTGACCTCATGTACAACAGAATGAAATACTACTCAGTCCTGAGCAATCCTCTGAATTGTTGCCCTGTGTGAGCCCACTGTTGCAGCCACTGTGTTAATCCATCTCCCTGAGGGTCTTCCTCTTTTTCACTGACCCTTTATTTTACCAAGCATGATGTCCCTCTCCAGGGTGATCCCTCCTGATAACAGGTCCAAAGTACATGAGAACAAGTCTGACTGTCTACCTTTCTAAGGAGCATTCTGGCTGTACTTTTTCCCAAGACAGAGTTATTTGTTCTTCTGGCAGTTGATGGTATATTCAATATTCTTTCCCAACACCACAACTGAATGCATGATTTTTTTTTTTTTCAGACTACCTTATCCATTGTTCAGCTTTCACATGCATATCAGGGGATTGAAAATAACATAGCTTGAGTCTGGTGCACCCTAGTCTTCAAAGTGACATCTTTGCTTTTTAACACTTTCTGAAAGTCTTTTCCGTAAGACTGACCAGTGCAATATATTGTTTGATTTCTTGACTGCTGCTTCCATGGGCATTGATTGTGGATCCAAGTAAAATGAAATCCTTGACAACTTCAATCTTTTCTCTGTTGATCATGATGTTGTATCAGTCCAAGTCCTGAGGACTTTTGTTTTCTTTATGTTGAGATGTAATCCATACTGAAGGCTGCAGTCTTTAACCTTCATCAATAAATGATTCAAGCTCTCTTTGCTTTTAGCAAACAAGGTTGTGTCGTCTGCATATTGCAGGTTGTTAATCAGTCTTCCTGCAATCCAGATGCTGCATACAGTCCAGCTTCTTGGATTATCTGCTCAGCATACAGATCAAATAAGTATGGTGAAAGGATACA